TCCATCGTTGTCAAAGAAACCCCACAGTCAACGATACCGATGCACTAATGCTTTTCCAAGATTTTCTAAGAAAGATTGAGATCCTTCGCATCAAAAAGCAAGGTCTCCAGCCTCCAGCGGGAGCCCCGAATTTCTAACAGTGCTTTTGTATTTGCAAATAAAACGGTTAACGCGCTCCATACGGCTTTTTTGCGCTGGACGAGCAGATAGCCGGCCTTAGTGATACTCACAGTACAGAGAAAATAACGTTGTTAAGTATCTTAGAAGAACTGGAAGTCCTTCTTGACTCTCACAGACTTCTTAACGAGAAGGTCCACTGCCAAGAGGACCGCGTGACTACTCTGTCATCGAGCGAGAACAAGGTCCATGGCTTCACTCTTATGATAAATCCTATGGCCGGGGAACCCGGCATATTGTCCCGCAGAGTAGAGCCAAAAACCTTCATAAATAAATATCCTCTTCGGTAACAACCGTCAGTAAACTAGCAAATTTAGATATTTTAAGAAAGCAGTCCCTTACACCTGCAAAACCCGATCATGAAAGTAGTACCGTGAATCACTCATTCGAAAGTGTGAAGGCGAAAGCGAGTCGTTGACGAGGTATCCAACGGAGGTTAATGATCCTACGCTCAGCTGTACGTCTTCCGCCCTTTGCCACAAGGTGGCTGCAAAGTTGGATTGGATGGTTTAGAAAAAATGCTCATTACACCGGAAGGAACGTTTCTAAGACGTACGTCCGCTTTACAACGTTGTGACTAAGATGCGCCCGCAAAAGAACGGAGCGGGCGTGGACCACAAAACCGTGATCAACTACGATGACGTGAACGAGATCTTCTGGAGAGACTCGCGCTAAACTGCTGAGAGTGGCTTGTAGAGCTCATTCAGCAGCGCCTTAAACCCCTTGAATAGGTTACTCTCGAGCTGAACATGCTTCACCGACGACGTACTAGCAGCATCCGCAACTTTAGCGACGACTTCGTTCACGGTCCAGCAGTCTACCAGGAAAGGAACTTGCGTCGGATCCATCGACAGTAAGGGAGCCAGTCGCAGCGACCTGATCTTCGTTGTTTGAGCTACCCTTTGCGCCCTCCATGTCTTCGTTTGTGGTGGGAGAGGGGGAGATCTCGTAATTTATTCTGTAAAAAAAAAAAAATCGCTCGGTGCTCGAAACTTCAATTAAGTACGATATTGGATGGCCAGACTTTAACGGCCGATATCTCAAAACGAGCGAAAGGTAGGTAAGTAACATTTTGTATCATGGGGTCTGATCTAGAACTTGCGTGAAGACCCGACTTCCTTAAGAATGTTTGTCGCACCGTAGCAGAGCCTACCAACGCGAATTTCTCATGACCACCGATCATTTCCTGGCCAAGATTGCCAAGTTAGTAACCTCCATATCGACCAAGTTTCCTGATCTGACCACCTTTTCGTTTTGCCCCATACGCAACTTGTGTGTCGCATTAGACGCCGATAATGATAAATTGGTGGTACAACGTTACCTCAAGATAAGACCAGCACACCAACAGATGTAAGCGATCATTATTCAACAATTCAACATTTCAAGGTCTGGAGAGTCGTGGACAAGTACTTCACGGGAAACGACCCAACCAAACCCACTGTAAGTCTTGAATTTGTTTATTTAGTGAGAATCTACATATTTTTCCAGCTAATATGCCAGCACGACTCAAGGCGTATACAGCGGGATGTTCACTAAGAACGTGATACGAAATGAGTAGTGACGAAATCTTAGAACGACAGGTGCTGCAGACCCCGAACCGTAGTGAGCGACTAAAAAAATC